TTCACAGTCCAACTCACATCCATACATGACCACTGGAAAAACCATAGCCTTGACCAGATGGACCTTTTTTGGCAAAGTAATGTCTTTGCTTTTTAATATGCTATCTAGGTTGGTCATAACTTTTCTCCCAAGGAGTAAGCGTCTTAATTTCATGGCTGTAATCACCATCTGCAGTGATTTTTTGGAGCCCCAAAAAATAAAGTCTGACGCTGTTTCCACCATCTCCCCATCTATTTCCCGTGAGGTGATGGGACCAGATGCCATGATCTTAGTTTTCTGAATGTTCAGCTTTAAGCCAACTTTTTCACCCTCCTCTTTCACTTTCATCAAGAGGCTTTTTAGTTCCTCTTCACTTTCTGCCATAAGGGTGGTGTCATCTGCATATCTGAGGTTATTGATATTTCTCCAAGCAATCTTAATTCCAGCTTGTGCTTCTTCCAGCCCATCATGCAAAATGTCAGACTGGATGAAGCACAAGCTGGAATCAGGATTGCTGGCAGAAATATCAATAACCTCAGATACACAGATGATACCACCCTTATGGCAGAAAGCGTACTGGAAAAACCATAGCTTTGACTGGACAGACATTTGTCAGCAAAGTAATGTCTCTGCTTTCTAATATGCTGTCAAGTTGGTCATGGCTTTTCTTCCAAGGAGCAAGTATCTTTTAATTTCATGGCTGCAGTCACCATCTTCAGTGATTTTAGGACCCAAGAAAATTAAGTCTCTTACCGTTTCCATTGTTTCTTCATCAAGTTGCCATGGAGTGATGGGACCAGATGCCATGATTTTAGTTTTCTAAATGTTGAGTTTTAAGCCAGCTTTTTCACTCTTCTCTTTCACTTTCATCAAGAGGCTCTTTAGTTCCTCTTCACTTTCTGACATAAGGGTGGTGTCATCTGTGTATCTGAGGTTATTGATATTTCTGCCTACCAGTAGTCAGTTCACAATGACAGGAAACTAGCTCTTAGATCTTTTGGCACTGCTATCCACAGCTGACAACTTTACAGTATAAAATGGGTTATAAAACTCCAAAATTCAAGTCCTCATTCTAGCCAGCAGGAAGGAGAAAAAAGTAAACTAGGATTTGTTCATTCTTTTTAAAAACACTTCCTAGGAAAGTCACCAACTGCAAGGAACTCTGGGACATATAATCTTTACTACAGGAAGTCTTAAATTCAGCTAAAACTTGAAGGAATGAGAAACCAGGCATCAGGGACAAATAGCTATCCTTGCCACAGTCCACTCATCCACATGCTCCTTCTTTCTACACAGAGATCTTGTTTCTTCGAGACTTAAATCCAAAGTGCCATCTGGTTACTGTATTAAGCTCAAAGTCCAGGAACTCTGGGTGATATTCAGTCGTCTCTATCATGGCAGGATGTGGCCACTCACACTCCAGAAATCCAAAAACCAAAAGTCAGTTTCTCTCCCCCTCACTCATGCTCAATACATAATGGTAAAACAGGACTTAGATAGCCTTAATAAAAATTTCAGCTGGATAAGAAAAAATAGGAAATTTTCACACAATAGTCACTGGCACGGGTCCATAGACATGATTAAACCCTATTGGGCAGGAATTAGGGGGCTCCCTGGCCCTGGTGGCTTGGCTGGTAAAGAATCCGCCTGCAATTTAGGAGACCTAGTTTCAGTCCCTGGGCTGAGAAGATTCCCTAGAGAAGGGAACCGCTACCCTCTCCAGTATTCTGGCCTGGAGAATTCCATGGGTTGTGTAGTCCATGGGGTTGCAGAGTTGGACACAACTGAGCAACTTTCACACATACACTGGCCTGAGAACAGTAAATTCCTTGATTAACCTATTAAATGTCTGCTGATTCTACTCTCGGTGATGAACTCCTTCACTTCCTGCCCTTGTTATGGACTGAACTGTGTTTCCCACAAATTTGTATGCTGGAGTCCTAATCTGTAAACTGACTGTATTGGAAATAGGGCCGTTAGCAGGTAATTAAGGTTGAATGAGGTCAAAAGGGTGATGCCTTAATCTGATATGATTGGTGTCCTTCAAAAAAGAAAGAGACCCCAGAAACAAGGCCATGAAGTTAGTTAGCTGTCTACACGCTATGGAGAGCTGCCTCAGAAGAAGCCAAAGCCATTAACATCTTGATCCTAGGCTTCTAGTCTCCAGGATTGTGAGAAAACAGGTCTCTGCTCTTTAAGCTCCCAGTCAGTGGTATTTTGTTATGCAGCCCTGGAAGACTAACACGATTCTCATGGCCCCTAGCTTTGCTTCCTCACAAATTCTTCCTTCCAGGCAATATAATTCTTTCAAATAGGATTTTCTTTTTATTTACTTTCAGTTCTTATAATCATAGCTAAGATCTTGTCTAGACATCGTTTTTTTTTTAAGCCTGAATGCTGGTCTTTTACTTATTGGTTGTATTATTCTGCCCAACTATGTCTCCCTAAATTTAATGGAGTTACCTCGTAGTCATTTAAAACAGATGAGTGAGAAGAAAGAAACCTTAATCCACTGTTTGTTAGCAATTGATCTCCTTCTAAAGTTGAGGAATTTGAGCCACTGCTTATAATTGGTTCGGTTTGGGGGTGCAGAAAGTTTTACCCCTGCAGAGACCTAAATTATCAATTTAGAATACAGGCCTCAGAGAGATAGTAACTCTTTTAGCAAAGCTGTAGTGTCGTCAGTCTCTGTTTCTGTACTGTCTGTCTCTAGCTTGTAAGGCTTTGCTGAAAGTGTCAGGAAGCAGACAAGACACACAAAAGTATTAATCTTTCCTATCATTTCCCCTACATCTCCAGCCCCAGTCAGTACATGGTTTCCTTTCCAAGCTAAAGTAGGGGAATGTTTGTCATGAAAAGGTCAGCCTGCAACATTGAGTCTGTACCACATGCTGCTCCACTTCTAAACCAGTACCACGTATAATATTTCTGTTGTTGTTGTCGATGCACTACCCAATTTTCTCATACTTAATCCTGTGTTTACTGTGAATCCATTTAGCATGAAACAGAGAAACCTAAAAAGAATAGATAGTTCAGTCAAATGGTAGTTGGTAGTTTTTTCTCTTTCATGTACATTATGTTGGAAGTAAAGGAGGCAGGGTTTGAAAGCAGTGCTAATTCTGGAAGACCCATTCTTCTATCTTGTTGCTCTTCCATCCTCAAAACTGTCTCAAAATCTGTATCTCCTAGCTAGTGAAAAGAAGAAAGGTGTGAAGAAAATCATGCCTCCTCTTTTCAAAGTAGATTTTCCAGAAGCGTGGATGAAACTACTTTTGATGCTAAAAACTTGGCCTCTGTGCTGAATCAAATCTCAGAGAAAAGAGTTTTGTATGACATTGAAAAGAATAGTGTTGTTGCTTTGCCAGGCAAAGGGGGACACAGTGGACTCACGCCCTTAAAAGCTGTGTCTCCCCATCCATGGGAGATCTGGTGAAGAGTTTTATAATGGTTCAAGGGCAGGGTTGCTGATGAGGATCAAGGTATGTGCAGGGCTTGCATTTCTTTAACTGGCCCTCAGGTAACCTCATCCAATCAGTCCATCCTAACGGAAATCAGTCCTGAATATTCATTGGAAGGACTGATGCTGAAGCTGAAACTCCAATACTTTGGCCACCTGATTCAAAGAACTGACTCATTGGAAAAGATCCTGATGCTGGGAAAGATTGAAGGTGGGAGAAGGGGATGACAGAAGATGAAATGGTTGGATGGCATCACTGACTCAATGGACATGAGTTTGAGCAAGCTCCGGGAGTTGGTGACGGACAGGGAGGCCTGGCGTGCTGCAGTCCATGGGGTCGCAAAGAATCAGATACGACTGAGCGACTGAACTGAACTGAATTGAACTGATCGTCCTGATGAGATTCTGTGGGCCTCAAGATTATTAAACTGTGACCTTCTCCCTGGAATGAGGAATGGTTCATCAAGTAGTTAACATTTTCCATTTGTTGGGGTTTTAGCCCAGCAAAAGACTTCAAAGATACTGTTGTGTGTGTCCTTTGAGGCGGAACCAGGACACTGTCCCAAGACTGCACTATTCTTTCTTGACTACTCCTCCCTTGTCTCTGCATCCCCTCTCTTCCCTGATAAGCAACTTCTTGAACCTACAGTTTAGTACACAGGGAAGGTTATGGAGGCTGAAGCCTACTTCCTACAAACAAGAATCGAGAGACATAGGAAAACTTCCGTGTCCAGGAACGCCACAGAGTCCTGCTCAGTTTCACTTTTGCTTATACCTATTGGATAAAACTTAGTTCTATGCAACACTGGAAACATTCCTTTGAGCTAGATATGACAAGTTGTAAAAAGGAAGAGGCAAAAAAAGGTATGTTCTCTCCCTTTGGGTACACTGCCCAGAAACAAAGTACTCACAAATTCTAGTTGTGATCTATGGGTAGGCATTTCTACCTGCTAAGGAAGCTAGAAAATAAAGTATTATAGGGAGTCAAATGGAAAGTTTTGTTACTAAGGGGAAGATAAGGAAAGAACATGTGAGGTGACCAATTGCAGGCTTGGCTATGGGATGTGAAACACAGTACAGCCTCTATCATATAGTTAAAAACTCAGTAAAGGTTAACTATTATTTGTGTCAAAATGGGGTCTAAATGTTTATCATTTGTGTCTGTTACCTTGTTTTATTCCTACTCAGAAAACTTTTTAAAAAAAATTTTTTTTTTAAAGAAAAGTTTTAGGTTTAACAGAAAAGTTGAATGGAAAGTACAGAGAATCCCCATATATCCCCTGCTCCCACAGATGTATAGTCTCCCCTGCCTTCCATGAATAACCTTTAATGTTCACTATATAGAAGTGAAACCCAACCTTCCCCTTCTTAATATGCTTCTATTGAAATCACCAGCACAAAAGACTCAGATGATTTCTTGAGTATGAAGTGACTTCATTACAACTTGAAAAAAATCTTAGATTACAAACAACATACACAGTTTAATGAATAAAATCAATCTACTCTATATTTTAAGTTTATATTGTTAGCATGTTTCATGCATGTTAAAGAATGAAAGCAAAGCACAGATCAATAGTTTATTTATTGTACCTCTGAAAATATGTGCAGTGTGAATAAATATATTCCATATTATAACATTCTATTTAGAGAGCAAGTAAAAATTAATATTGCTTTAATAACACAAAGAATGACACATTAAACTTGACCAAATCATTGCTAATGTTAAAATAGAAGATTTAGTGATTATCGACTAGGTTGAAACAATAACATTTCAGGGGCTGTGGGAGGGTTACCCTACTCACTACTCCACTCCTCAAAAACTCTTCTCCCTCTCTCGATACCCGAAATTCTTTTGTAAAGAGCTAAAAGAAAAAATAAATATTATTACAGACTAAAGGTTGAGAGCACAATGAAAAAGTGTTACTGAATGGGAGAGTCTTTGAAGTCAAAAGATCATAAACCCTATCTGCCCACATGAGGAAAGCAAATACACTGAGATTATTGGCTACTGATGCCTTGTGCTACCATCTGGGTAAGCACTGAGTTGGTTGGAAGCTATCCACTGTGTCTTTGGTACCCATCTCAAGATTATGGCTTGTAACTGCCTCTGCTGAGTATCTGGAGCCCTGCTTTGGAATTAGAGTATGTACCTTTCTCTTGGCATGAATCAGGATTATTTCACTCAGTCAAGCATGTATCAGGGTCACAGACTAGGTGTCCATGTCTCTTAGATGAAGGTTTATCAAAATAAAAGATAAATGCAATTAAATCTGGGAATGGTGGAACAATGTAAATAAGCTTCCGTTAAGGTACAAGTAACTAATAATAGATCCTGACATATTTTGTTTCAAAGAGAAGAAAGGAAAATCAAAACACAACAAAATTTCAGTACTTTAGCAATTGTTGATGTGTGGTAGTAAGTAAGCTGACCTCCTCCATAGAAACAATGAGTGCATAGGAATATCACTCTTGAATTAGCATATGAGGTATTCAGATACAGTTATCTCTCCTGCAGGCTGCCATGTTGCCTGAATTCCATCTGTAGTCTTTCCTTCACCTCTCTAAATTCCTAGCCCACCATTGCAGAACTATTAACTTGATCCAGTTATTAAAAAACAATTTTAGGTATGTTAGGAACTTGAGTATGTGAATCTATTTTTTCAACAATAAATTTTATGAAATCTAAATACAGATAAAGTCTCTCTCAGGAAAGGTTAAGGTTCAAATTGAAGCTGTAATAACTAGGTTTTGAAGACAACACCCCCCCCCCCAAAAAAAAGTAAAATATCTTATTGTGAAAAATATTTACTGAAAGAAATAGTATTTTGGATGTAATCAATTAAATAAAACACTAAAGTGAAAAAAAATCCACTTTCAAATTACTGCAAGGAATAACATTACTAGAAATTAGCTCACTAAGGAGGACATGGAAAGTACAAGATGTTGAATAGTAAAGAAGCTTGAAAGTGATGAACATGTTAGAAAGGGAAAGGTGTCAGACATAAGCTTCACCCATCTCCTGACCCAATCCACAGCTTTCCTGGTAGTTAAGCTACAATCTTGAATTACTAGGTTTTACTTCTCTGAAGAATCACACAAAACATTGTTTTCCTGTTACTCAAGTATCAGGCAGTACCAGTGTAATTTCTTTAGTCACAAAAAATAAAGTCTTTTCTGGACTACAAATTGAGTCCCCTTTGTCCCAAAGGAAACCTCTCTCCTAATTATATACTCAGAGCCCAATTTCACCTCAGTTTGTAAGGAATTTCTCATATAACTTAATCGAAATTCTCATATTACTAGGCAAACTCTTCCAAAATTAGCATTCTTTAGCATCTCTTAATCTTAACTTTTTGTTTATTCTTTCAAGTTTTGTTGCTCCAAATTTCTACTGCGACTGAGATTTTTTTTCTTCGTCTTTCCGAAAGTAGGTAACTAACTCACTTTGGTCTTCGTTTTGCAAAAGGATTCTACCTGGGCAGGAAAAGCTCTAGGGGTTTTAAATATGTAAATTGTCATTTGTATCAAAGAGATATCTAATCTAGTACCATGATTTTATCTTCATGTCTCCTTTGTATCTTAATGTGGAATATGAGGGTGGGACTAGAGGAAAGCTCCACTCTTCCCCTCACTGGAGAAATAAAAGTAGAGGGGAAAACAGAAGTCCTAAAATTGGTTTCCACTTGTCATTTACTAAGTTAGAAACTAGGCTACTATAATAACACTGTAGCTTCCTTTTTTTCTGTCACGGTTTTTCAGGTTTAGTTCCTGGTAGTGATTAACAACAAAACTCCCAAAGAGGCAAATCACCAGGGTAGGTTTGTCTTTACAGCTTGACAGAAACATGGAAGATGATAGCACATGAAGCAGAAGAAGGAAGGCTACAGCGAGAAGAGCACAGCCTGGCAGGGAGACATCGGCCCTGTGTCTGAGCAGTCCTCGGGCCCCTGTGTGGGTTCACAGCTAGGTGTAACTTTCTGAATTCATTATCTAAGCATGTCTTACACTGATCTCCCAGAGAAGCAGCTTCTGGAGATGGGAGATCCGTGATCAGGGACCAGTCTCCTCACTCACCCTGGACCAACTTATCTCTATGGAGGACATGCCTTTCCAACCCCAAAAGTCAGCTCCTGGGAAGAATTCCATTTTTTAAGGTCTCTTTATTAGCTTTATTTAAGTGAGTGCTTGGCAGCTTCCACTCTCTTCTATCCGTTAATCTTTCAAGTTAACAGTAGCTTCCTGGGACTTGGGGGAGAGATGAGGGGTGGGGGAAGAAAAGATAGAATCAGCCCATTTCCCCTAGTACCTTCTACAATAAATCCCCCTCCCTAATTTTTTTTTACAGGCTTCTTTCTTTTCCATATATAAAATACAGCCTAAGTGATTTTTTGTTTTGTTTTGACCCACACAGCATGGCATGTGGGATCTTAGTTCCCCAACCAAGGACTGAAATTTCATGCCCTCCATTGGAAGTGCAGTGTATTAACCACTGGACCTCCAGGAAAGTCCCAGCAGTACGATGGTGGTGGTGGTTTTGTCGCTAAGTCGTGTCTGACTGTTTTCAGCCCCGTGGACTATAGCCCACCAGGATCCTCTGCCATGGGATTTCCCAGGCAAGAATGCTGGAGTGGGTTGCCATTTCCTTCTCCAGGGGATCTTCCCTATCCAGGGATTGAATGCACATCTCTTGGATTTCCTGCATTGCAGGTGGATTCTTTTACCATTGAGCCACCAGGGAAGCCCAGAAGCATAAGTGATGTTTATTGTATAGCTGTGACGCTGAGAGCTTGGCCTCTGTGCACTGGTGCTGAGTTGAATCTCAGAGTCAGAGCTCTAGATGAAGTAGAAAAGGATAGTTTTATTATTTTGCCAGGCAAAAGAGGACACAGTGGGCTCCTGCTTGGAAAAGCTGTGTGTCCCCACCTGGGAGGACTTGGTAAAGAGTTTTCTAACAATACTTTCCCAAGGTTGGGTTTGCTGATAAGGTTAGGGTGTGTCCAGGTGGTCTGTCTCCTAACCACGATGAGCTTATCTGCTCCCTGTAATCCTGCCTCAGGTGCTTTCTTGGCTGCTCCTCCTTTGATTAGCCCATTGGAACTCTGGGAAGGTCCTGGAGGCTTACCTACAGGAAACTAGGGAAAAAAGGGCCTCTGTGCCTGGGAGCTTCACCAATATAGAAACAAATGTTTCTATATTATGAGACCAGTAAAGCCCTGAATGTTTGACAGTGAGTTCATTGGACTCCTTCAGTAGATCACAAGAATCTTCAGTTTCTGAGTTTTCCTGACAGCAGGCTAGGAAAAGTATCTGTTTTTAGTTTCTGTTGTTGCATTGTTTTGGTTGTTTTAAATCTTCAGAGTCTCAAATTTCTTATTTCAGTTTGCTAACTTAAAACAATCAGTTAGCAAATATTGATTTGCCCTAACCTGCTTTTTACAACATACTTTGTAAAGGTCAGGTTGGCATAAGGCAAGATTCCTGTACTTGAGTGGTTTAAAATCTGCTTGGGGGATTGGATTTCTTACCAACTGAGCTATCAGGATAGCCCGGGGGAATGGATACAAGGGGTTTTATTATCCTTTGGTCACTGGGTTGATTCAACCTCTGACAGCAGGGGTTTCCTTCTTGTCTCTGCATAGGCACAAATCTTCTACAAGATGGATAACTTTCTCACACAGAGATATGAAAAACACTTTTAATGCAGGAATCATTTGTTTACTATTAATAGTGTGATGACTCAGATGGTAAAGAATCTGCCTGTAATGTGGGAGTCCTGGGTTTGATCCTTGGGTTGGAGAGATCCTCTGAAGTAGGAGATGGCAACTCACTCCAGTATTCTTGCATAGAAAATTCCATGGACTGAGGAGCCTGGCAGGCTATAGTCCAGGGGTCGCAAAGAGTCAGACGTAACTGAATGGCTAACGGTTCACACTTTCAACAGAATGAGGAAACAGGACAGCAGAGTAAGCAAACAAGAAGACTGGATGTACCTTCAATAAAATGCTATAATGCTGGAATGATCTGATCATAGAGAGACAACCACTTTTGTCTTTGACTAGGCTATTTTATAACTCTTTAGAGATACCCTAACCTGCTTCTTACAACATACTTTGTAAAGGTCAGGTTGGCATAAGGCAAGATTCCTGTACTTGAGTGGTTTAAAATCTGCTTGGGGGATTGGATTTCTTACCAACTGAGCTATCAGGATAGCCCAGGGGAACGGATACAAGGGGTTTTATTATCCTTTGGTCACTGGGTTGATTCAACCTCTGACAGCAGGGGTTTCCTTCTTGTCTCTGCATAGGCACAAATCTTCTACAAGATGGATAACTTTCTCACACAGAGATATGAAAAACACTTTTAATGCAGGAATCATTTGTTTACTATTAATAGTGTGATGACTCAGATGGTAAAGAATCTGCCTGTAATGTGGGAGTCCTGGGTTTGATCCTTGGGTTGGAGAGATCCTCTGAAGTAGGAGATGGCAACTCACTCCAGTATTCTTGCATAGAAAATTCCATGGACTGAGGAGCCTGGCAGGCTATAGTCCAGGGGTCGCAAAGAGTCAGACGTAACTGAATGGCTAACGGTTCACACTTTCAACAGAATGAGGAAACAGGACAGCAGAGTAAGCAAACAAGAAGACTGGATGTACCTTCAATAAAATGCTATAATGCTGGAATGATCTGATCATAGAGAGACAACCACTTTTGTCTTTGACTAGGCTATTTTATAACTCTTTAGAGATGAAAATTAGCTTGTAGAAAACAAGTAACAGTGCAGATAATTCTTGTCCAGTGCCAAACATATACATGCTGTCCAGAGGTGTGACAACTCTCACTCTCTCCCAAAAGTCGGTTTTATAGTCATTTGCAAATTCATTTCAATATTCTTGATCAATAAATTGTGTCTCTTGTTTGGATTCTCCTTTGAATCTGTTGTAACATCTTACTGGTTTCCTCATTTAAATAATGTGACTGCCTGTGTGAATGCTCACCATGTCTGACTCTCTGCGAACCCATGGACTTTAGCCCAGCAGGCTCCTCTGTCCATGGGATTTTCTACACAAGAATACTGGAGTTGCCAGTTCCTACTTCAGGGGATCTTCCTGAACCAGGGATTGAACCTGTGTCTCTTTCATCTCCTGCACTGGCAAGGAGATTTTTCACCACTGAGCCACCTAGGAAGCCCTTAACTACTACAGAGCTAGTAAAATCTTTAATATATAGTACTTTTATACTTGTTTGAGAAGCATGATTTTATCACTAAAAGATTACCCTTAAACACTAGACACAAAGATGTACTCAAATTAATTTGGGCAAATGGGAAACTGCAGGTCCATTTCAAGGAAAACCAAAGCAGGATGTATAAGGGCCTCTAGGTCTGGAATAGGAGAATCTTTAGGAGTCCAAAGTGTTTATCTTACCATCTTTCCCAATCCATGTGATCTTTTTGTTTCTGCTTCTCAATTTTTTCTCAGTTTTCCATGTATGAGGGGAAATGGCCCTCTCAAGTCCTATGCAGTCATTCAACAAAAATCTGTCAGAGGCTTTCTACACCAGATACCTCCTGCTCTAGCACACCTGCCAACAGATTAACACTTCAGTGTTTCTATACACTTTCCTCATGCAGGTCAATAAGACAGACTCTTATTGGTTTATTTAGCTCATGCACCTACTCTGATCGCATCTGCAGTACCAAAAAGGCAAAAATCACATAGTTCACTGCCATGGGAGAGAATTCCTAAGATGATGGCTGGATAAGGCAGACGAATGGATTAATAAGCTTTTTCCATACATGGAATATAAACTATTAACATAGTTTAACATTAACTCCATTAACTCCATTAACATAGTGGAGTGTTAGATATACACTCCACTGCAGTCCTAAATGGGGGGTACTGCAATACATTCTGACACTAATACCCCGTGTTAGAAGACTCCAAATATTAAGAGCTCGGTTTGCCAGAGATTACCCTTAGTAGAGTCGCTAACTATAGGTCCACCTGCACTCCTGACTGCCTTGGCTGTAACGTTAGGAGTTTCCATAGCTTCCTCAGTTCAGTTCAGTCCAGTCACTCGGTTGTGTCTGACTCTTTGTGACCCCATGGACTGCAGCACGCCAGGCCTCCCTGTCCATCACCAACTCCTGGAGCCTACTCAAACTCATGTCCATCGAGTCCATGCCATCCATTTCATCCTCTGTCGTCCCCTTCTCCTCCTGCTTTCAATCTTTCCCAGGATCAGGGTCTTTTCCAGTGAGTCAGTTCTTTGAATCAGGTGGCCAAAGTATTGGAGTTTCAGCTTTAGCATCAGTCCTTCTAATGAATATTCAGGACTGATTTTCTTTAGGATTGACTAGTTGGGTCTCCTTGCAGTTCAAGGGATGCATCATTGGCCACATGATTTTTTTTTTCTCAATTAAACTTTTTTTAATGGGTCTCAAATTCTGTGACAGATTTTTGCTCAAGTTGTTTTCATTAAAAAGTACTGATTTTAAAAACTAATAACTTAAAAAAACAAACAAACAAAAAAAACTAATAACTTAAACTGCCATACACAAAACATATGGTCCACAAAAACATTCTCCTTTCCTTCTGAAGGTTTTATGATGCATTGTTATCATTAACCAGTCTTTTACTATTAAACTTAAATGGCCAATTGAGACAAACAGTTCTGAGACCGTTCTTCCACCACTGATTAAGACTGGGGTGGCAGGTATCGGGGATAATATTCATTTAGCCTTCTGAGCTTTCTGGGCAGACTTGGTGACCTTGCCAGCTCCAGCTGCCTTCTTGTCCACTGCCTTGATGACACCCACAGCGACTGTCTGTCTCATGTCACGCACAGCAAAACGGCCCAGGGGAGGATAATCAGAGAAGCTCTCGACACACATGGGCTTGCCAGGAACCATATCAACAATGGCAGCGTCACCAGATTTCAAGAATTTAGGGCCATCTTCCAGCTTTTTCCCAGAACGACGATCAATCTTCTCCTTCAGCTCAGCAAACTTGCAAGCGATGTGAGCTGTGTGACAATCCAGCACAGGTGCATATCCAGCACTGATTTGGCCTGGATGGTTCAAAATAATCACCTGAGCTGTGAAGCCAGCAGCTTCCATGGGTGGATCATTTTTGCTGTCTCCAGCCACATTGCCACGANCAAAAGATCCCTCTGGCTGCTGAGAGTGGGGGATGGGAGCAGACTGAGGCCTGGGGGCTGGTGGTTATCCTGCCCAGATAACAGCTAATGGTGGATCTGGAGCAGGCCATCACCTCTGTAGAATGAAGTGGCCGCAGTCGACAGTGAAAGACGCTCAGAAGGTAAATCCTACGGAGCTCCCGGATGGGAAGTGGGAGAGGAGAGGGAGAGCAGAGGTCAAGGGTAACGACCAGGTTTGGGACTTGCAGTACTGGCTGGGAAATCCGAGCTTTGGTGGCCTGAGATCATTTGAGAGTTTTGTTTTGACCAAATTGCCCCCAAGTCTGGGATGTCTTTGGGGGCTTTACTGTCCTGTTTTGTTCTGTGAAACTGATTTCGGATCACATTTGAGTGTTTCCTGTCTGCCTTGATTCCCTTTCCCACAGTATTTGTTTCTTGAAATTTGAGGTTGGGAGGGCTTAGAGTTCATTTTTCTTATGAACGTCTTCCTTTTTCAGACGAGTACATTACTTAATCTCTCTGCCTCGGTTTCTTCATCTGTAAAATGAAGGTAATAATAGAACCTCATACATAGAGTTATTGGGAGGATTAATTAAATGATATAAAGATTGTATCAGCGCCTGGAGGTAGTAAACTCAATGGGTTAAGCTGCTCTTTAAGGTAAAGATGATGTTGCCAGACACTGCTGATATCTTCTGAGGAGAGTTGGAGGTGGGAGTGGCTTTAAAAGGAGGTGGAGGCTCATAGAAGTCACTCTAGTTACTTAGCAAGTATATATTAACACATCATTGACCAGAGCCGTATCAATATCACATAACAAATCACCAGCCACAGGCTTTAGTTTCTGCAAAAATCCCCCCGTCCATAAAAGATTAAGCATCTTTTTATACCCAGTAACAACCAGGAGTTGGTGATGGACAGGGAGGCCTGGCGTGCTGTGATTCATGGGGTCGCAAAGAGTCAGACACGACTGAGCGACTGAACTGAACTGAACTGAACTGAGGAGTCCGTCATAAGTCACCCATTGGTAATAAAAAATATACTCCTCTCCAAGAGTTTTTGATGCTCTGTACCAGGAATCAGGAAAAAAGATCAGATATATCTTTATTACATCACAATATATCTTTATTTATATTGTGGAAACACCGTAAGAATTCAGGCAGTCACTTCCCATGGTGGGTTAACGGCTGAGATAAAACGAGTTAGATTGCTGAAACAGAAATTTCAAGAAGGTAAGAAGACAGTAAAACAAGTCAGATGAGATCTTTATATCTCATTGTTTTAATACATCTTGGTTTAAAAAAATTACTATATTTTCATTTGACTGAAATAAGAGTTTGTGTGGAAGATAAAGTTCTAAAAGCAACTGGACCACAACAATGAGGGATTGTGAATGCCAGGCTAATAACTTTTGGAAACTTATCCTGTTGGTAGGATGTTTCATTGTACCAAGAAGAGTGTCATAAGTGGTATTTTAGGAAACTCAGACTGACAGCACTGTGTAGTTTGAATTAGAAAAGAGAAATCAGAGAAGCTACTAGGAAGTGCCAAAGTGTGATTTTAAAAGCATAATTTTTTAAAACATGACTTTTATACAATTATAGAATGAATATGTATCAATGATTACTATTTATTTCATTAATGAGTTGGTAAGTTAGTTCAAAGAAGAATTAGAAGAAAAAAAAAGAATTAGAAGAATGGAGGATATATAAATGTCCATCTGAAAAATCATATAGAAATGCACATGCTAGGTTTGGGAAAAACTTCCAAGTTTTTTGTTTTTCCCCATGAGAAAGAAATGATTTGTATCTTTCCCTGAAAAATAAATCTACAATTTCAAAAAAATTATAACAAAGTCTAGGGTATAATCAATATTAAATATTAAGTCACACAAAATTATATCCCCAAGAAAATTAAATAATCCTGAGTGGTTAGGGTTAGGGAAGTTAGACATTAAAGGGACATGCAGTCATGAGAAATGCTGGGCTGGAAGAAGCACAAGCTGGAATCAAGATTGCTGGGAGAAATATCAATAACCTCAGATATGCAGATGACACCACCTTTATGGCAGGAAGTGAAGAGGAACTAAAAAGCCTCTTGATGAAAGTGAAAGAGGAGAGTGAAAAAGTTGGCTTAAAGCTCAACATTCAGAAAACTAAGATCATGGCATTTGGTCCCATCACTTCATGGGAAATCGATGGGGAAACAGTGGAAACAGTGTCAGACTTTATTATTTTGGGCTCCAAAATCACTGCAGATGGTGATTACAGCCATGAAATTAAAAGACGCTTACTCCTTCGAAGGGAAGTNAGATCCAACAAGTCCATCCTAAAGGAGATCAGTCCTGGGTGTTCACTGGAAGGACTGATGCTGAAGCTGAAACTCCAATACTTTGGCCACTTCATGAGAAGAGCTGACTCATTGGAAAAGACCCTGATGCTGGGAGGATTGGGGGCAGGAGGAGAAGGGGACGACAGAGGATGAGATGGTTAGATGGCATCAACGACTCCATGGACATGAGTTTGAGTAAAATCCGGGAGTTTGTGATGGACAGGGAGGCCCGGTGTGCTGCGAGTCATGGGGTCACAAAGAGTCATACACCACTGAGCGTCTGAACTGAACTGACTAAACTGATATATATATATATATATGTATATATGAAATCAGTATTTCAAAGAGATATCTATATTTTCATGTTCATTGCAGCATTAGTCACAATAAGCAAGATATAGAAAAAATTTGTATTCATGAACAAGTGAATGGATAAAGAAACTGTCATATACACATACACACACTGGACTACTATTCAGCCTTTAAAAAGAAAGAAATCTTGCCATTTCAACAGTATTATACAACATAGATGAACTTGGAGGACATTATGCTAAGACAAGGAAAGAAGCTAGACACAAGATGATTGTGCTGATATGTGGAATCTAAAATAGTCAAATTTTCAAAAGCATAGAGTAGAATGATGGTTACCAGGTGCAGGGAGGTGGGGGAAGATGGGAGATGTTGTCAACAGATATTAAGTTTTAGTTGTACAAGATGAATTAGTTCTAGAGATATAATGTACTAGATGGTGATTACAGCTAATAATACTGTATTGCATACTTGAAATTTGCTAAGAAAGTAGGTATCAGATTTTTTGTTTTCCTTTGTTTTGTTTTTCTGCTACCTTACATGGCATATGTCACCCAACTGACACATAGTTACCTAACCCAACTAAGAATCAAACCAATGTCCTCTGCAGTGGAAGCATAAAGTCCTAACCACTAGACCACCAGGGAATTCTGATATCAGGTATTTTTAATATACACACAAATGTAACTGTGGGAGGAGATGGATGTTTTAATTAGCTTGCTATTATAAGCTAATTACAGTACATAATTTTATTATGTATTATATAGCAAAGTATATTGTACACCTTAAATATACATACATTTTATTCTTAAAAGAATATCAAATACAATTAACTAAGGAAAGATATTCTACTGTATTGATTGGGAAGTTCCTTCTATACACCTCTTAAAAGTGTGAAAATAATTTTAAAAAATAGAGCATACCAAATAAGCTTCATTTTTAACTTTCTCTTTTAAGAAGGTAACAATAATATTTGTGATTTCCAGGGGATCTCTGAATAACAAAAGGCATCTTGTGTTTTTTCTTGAATTTAGGTTCTAGTTTTGGAAGGGAAAAAAATTTTAAACCTATAAAAGGAGATGTGGTCATGATTAACATAGACTCTTATATGCCTTAGAACAATAAATGGTTATAGTTTGGCTGTCTATTAATCAAAATGTCAAAATGGTAATTTTAAATAAACATAACACAAGTTCTGTGGTCAGCCATCCAGTGGTTTGAACTCCATGCTTTCATTGCCAAGGGCCTGTGTTCCATCCTGGTTGGAGAATAAAGATCCTGCAAGCCACATGGTGTGGGCCAAAAATTTAAAACACAGCAGAAAGTAACACAATTGCAAGGAAACAGCTTTTTCAGACATGAACACTAAAAATTAAGTACAGCACAAAGCACAAATCATTATCTTAATGACATAACAAATCTCTTCTATATGGGCAGAAGGTAAAAAATAACACTTTATTCTTGCAGAAATAGAAAAAAAATCCACCCATTCTAAAATTCACATGGACTCTCAAGCAACTTCAAGTAGCCAAAATAATCTTGAAAAAGAAGAGGAAAGTTGGAGGTCTCACACACTTCCTGATTTAAAACTTATTATGAAACTATAGAAATCAAAACACTATGGTCCTGGCATAAAGACAGACAGACCAATAGGATAAAATAGAGAGTGCAGAAATAAACCCTCACATATATACTTAAATGATTTTTGACAAGGGTACTAAATCATTCAATAGAGAAAGGACATTATTTTTTCATCATATAATGAAACATATTTCAACATACTTATTTTCATCAAATAATGTCAGAGAAACTGGATATACACATGCAAATGAATGAAGTTGGACCCTTACCTAAACCATATACAAAAACTAACTCAAAAAGAGTCATCAAAGATCTAAGAGCTAAAACTTTAAAACTCTTAGAAGAAACTATGGGAGAAAAGCTCATGACACTGGATTTGGGGATAATTTTATGGATATATACCAAAACATAGATAACAAAAGAAAAAATAAATTCGACTACATAAGAATTTTAAACATTTGTGCCCCAAAGGAAACAACAGAATGAAACAGCAACCAATGGAATAAGAGAAAATATATGCAAATCATACATTTGATGAGTAAATAACTTTGACTACATAAAGAATTCCTACAACATGAAAACAGTAACAACAAAGCAAATGACCCAATTAAAAAACAGGCAAAAGACTTGAATAAACATTTCTGCAAATGAGATATGTAAATGGCCAAATATGAAAAGACACTCAACATCACTAACCATTAGAGAAACGCAAATGAAAAAATAAAAGCCACTGAGACATCACCTTACACTCATTAGTATGGTTATCAAAAACAAAC